TATCGCCATAAATAAACGGATTCTACGTTGAATATCAAAGAGAAATATTAATGCTAAAAGTATTTTGAAAACATTTATACGATTATATTCAACTAAATTGTTCACTCATCTTAGAAAAGAAATATTATAAGATCTTCAAAATAAATTTCAGAAATCGGAATGCAGGATTTTTTTATTCCGGTTCACGTAATTGAGTTTTACGAACGTTTCTGAACTGTTTCTGAACTTTCTTAGAAGATGCGGGAGAAGGAAGATGAAGAGAATGAAGTCGAAAGGGATAATTTACAATTCACACCATCATCTAGGCAATTTGTCGCTCGTTACTCTTGTGTGAAGTTCACGAACCGTTTATTGCTTACCAACAGTTGTTCAAGCCGTAATTCTCAATTTTTCAGATATCACTACTACTATCCTAAGCTTAATTCTCTCTCTCTCTCTCTCTCTCTCTCTGTGTCTTCCTTCATCTTCTTTCTTTTTCATTCGGCCAACTGACCATACAAAATGCCAAATAAAATATATGTTCGTTTGTTTGGGGTAATAATTTGTTGTGAAAAAGTGAAATGAATGGAAGAAACAGAGAAGGAACTCTGTGCTATCTTTTCTCTTTTAGTTTTGCTTTAAAAAACGATGAAATTTTTATTGCTAGAAAAGTTCAAATTATTGTATTTCATAAAGGAAACCCGTATTTCACTTCTCTTCAGCTTTTTCTTTTGATGTAAAAGAATCGGAGATATCGGACGGAGAATGAGGAACGGTAATATTGGATGAAGAATAAGGAATGGTAATACTGGATGGAGAATGAGGAATGGTAATATTGGATAAGAGTGAGAAAAGTAATATCGGACGGAGGATGAGGAAAGATAGTATCGGATGAAGAATGAGAAAAATATTATCAGAGGTGGGATGAGAAAAGATAATACCGGACCGAGGATGAGGAAAGGTATTATCGGACGAGGGAAGAGGAAAGTAATATCAGACGGAGGATGAAGAAAAGATATCAAGCAGGAACGAGATAAGAGGAAGGATTGTGATTGTGCTTCCTAATTTTTGCTAATAAGATATTTTGAAAGCCATAATATTTCATTAAAGAAAACAATAGTATTTGATATTGAAATTGTCAAAAGTGTCATCTCATTATAATAAACTGTTATATAAAAATATGTTTCAATAAAAATTGAAACTGTCATCTCATTCATTATAATAAACATTTCAAGCAGTTTAAGTGAAAGAAATTTAATGAAATAAATTTCTATCAGGCGATCGATGTACAGAATCAGAAAATTCCATTTCAAAATATTTATTTAACTCATTAAATTTTATTGCTCATACTGGTAAAATTCTTATCAATTTCATCCGATGCCTCCTCAAGTTTGAAGGTGCAAAGAAAGATTGCTGCACCTTTTTGATAGCTTATTAATTCTTTTATAAACAAATTACTGAGCTTCAATACGATACCATCTTCCCAAAAAATGTTTTAATTTTTAAATAATATAAGCTATAGATTATCAATATCAATACCAAACAATTCCTGTACCTGGATTATTAAACATAAATATTAATAATTTATACATTCGATCTTTTCATTTCTTTTGAGAGAAAATCACCAATTAAGCCAGATAAATGAATTGTTTGATATTGATAAAGAAGTACCACAAATAACCATTTCATATTGCATATACATTTAGCATTCTATCAGATAGTAAGTAAATTGATCACTAAAATTATCTCATCAGTTTATTGTAAAATTTGATTGATATATGCTGAGCATGCTCATCTTATATTTTTATCTCCCATCATTCTTGCACGAGTCATCAGAGGTGAGAATGATGTTATAGCAAAGAACTTTTTCAATCACTGAATTGTGAAATAGACTTTTTTGTTGTTGAAAATATTATGTGCAGGATATCATGTTAATTGTTTTCGATTAAAAAATAATTAATATGTAAAATATATGGTGACAGAAAGTTATAGTTGCATAAAACTTAGTAGTTTGTAATTTCAATCTTTCAGTCTTTCCTCAGCACTGTCTTCCTATAAATAATTTTAATAATTCTTGACAGCTGAACTTTGAAATGAGCAAGTTTGAGTCAATGAAGTTTGGGTCATCTTTAAAGAATTAAACAAGCAACAGCAATAGATGTGTCCATTATAGTTTGATAGATTTAGCTAAGCATAATTTCATCCCACCTCATAAACTTTAATACTTTTTGCTATAACTATATTATCTGTGCTTCTCATATAAAATCTCTTTGATCTTTCTTTATAAAAGAGAAAAAGTTTAAGCATTAGATATGGAGTGGAACATCAATAGTGAATGGCAGACATACCTCATTGGCTCATAAAAATGAAATAAAGAAATTTATCGGTTACTGTATAGTAATATGACATTTGCGCCATTCATTACTCATTCTTTGAAGTAATTAACGTAATCCATTGTTCTAATTGTTAAGAGCATGTTAATATCCAAAATTTGCAATGTTTTTTCCTTCTAGTCTTTTTAAAAAAGAATTGATGAAATTTAATTTTTTACTTCATTCAACTATTACGAAGATCAAAGCTCCGGCTGTCACATTTACTATGATTTTTGAAAATTTATTTATGAAAACAAAATTAATATTCGCATATATATGAAAAAGTTTATTTAATGTTTGGAACTATTGAAACTTTCAATTCATATTTAATGATTTACAATTCGTTACGACGATTTATTAACTTTGAAATTACTTCCGTAAATATAAACAAAATTTTTACGCAAGAAATACATTCATTTGTAAGTGAGGTAATTGCATGAAGTTCTTTGTATATAAAAAATTATTCGAAAGAAATGAAGTAGATAAATTTTAATGAATTTTGGAAGTTTTGAAGTGGAAAATTTACCATTGTAAAATAAGCGAATGACGTTCAAAACAGATTTTCGAAGTGCAGAATTACGATGATAATGAAGAAACAAATTGATGGTTGAATTCAGTTTTGTTAAATGAAATAGTACCTGCACAGCACTTTCACATTGTCTTTCAGCTTTAAATGCATTTTTCACCTAGAATGCCTGAAGTATAAATTTGTCAATTCAAATGTCGCAGCTGCTTCATTTCTAGTATGAACTTTGATATCTATAGGTAGTTAACTATCCTAGCCATATTTCAATATCATTTTAGCTTCATCATGAACTGTCGTATAGCATTCATAAAGAATGCTGCAAGAAGAATCAGATTTCTGATCTATCACAATATATCATGCTAATATTATTGAACTTTAACAGATCATCTTCAAAGATACTGAAACATGCATTTGTAAAATTCAAATCAAAATAATTGGAGCATATCATTCAAAATACTTTTTTTTATTATTCATATCACGAGATCTTTTATTTGTCTTTAGAACAAAATAAAATTTTTGAAGTTTAATTTTTGAAGTTTTGAATGGTTCAGTAAGCTAATTCATTTTGATTCATTTACATTGGCTGTCATTATTCGTTCATTAAATAAAAACCATTCACTCCGTACATTCTATTCATCTATCTATGTAAATTCTCTTGGGGCTAATAACTGAACAAAACACTTTGTTTAATGAACTGTCAAATGTCGAATAAGAAATTTAATATTTTTACTCATTACTATGAATTTGAAATCATTATGCTGACAACAAATAAAATAATTAGAATCAAATTTAAAAAAAAAGAATACACATGGCGATTAATCAAGAATACACATGATTACCTCTTCTTTTAGAACTTTTAAAATATCTTTCAAGTGATAATTTAATGATAAGAAAATCATTATTTTTTCTGAATGCGAAATTATTATTCAATGCCTTGCAATCATCGCTACCAATGCGACTTTTACTTATATCATCACTACCAATGTGACTTTTACTTATATCATCGCTACCAATGTGACTTTTACTTATATCATCGCTACCAATGTGACTTTTACTTATATTATCGTCTACCAATGCGACTTCTATATCATATGGCTACCAATGCGACTTTTACTTATATTATATGGCTAACAATGTGACTTTTACTTATATTATATGGCTAACAATGCGACTTTCACTTATATTATCGCTACCAATGTGACTTTTACTTATGTTACTTACAAATTCATACATTGCGAATATTAAACAAAAAGAAGCGAACTATTTCCATAATTTTTCCGATCTTTTAACCAATCATTTCTAAGCTATTCATGTGAATTCTTCTTTGCATATTTCAGAAAATTGCAATCATTTCAAACATAATAGTACGATACAATGAAAATGGAATGATTCATAACATTTACAAATGAAATTTTATAGAATATACCAAATTGCACATATGTATTTTCTTTTCATTATAAAATTTCAACTACTGTGGCAAAATATTACTTTAAGCAAAAATCGTCAAATTTATAAAAGGAATGAATTTAATGGATTATATTCGACTGACCAGTACATATCTGATATGATGGATAGGAAATAAAAATGATAATAGTTGAATTTGTAATTCTTAAGTGTTTAAAATATAAAATGTTGAATCCTTTTCTAACTTAAGAATTCTTAAAATATCATTTGATTTTTCATGAAACTTGGCAAAAGTTAATTATCAAAGCTATCATAAATAAGCAAAACGATTTAATTATAATTTTCTAATTAGCAAAAAAGGAAACAATCATACAATATTGTTGGGAATTTTTAAAAATTTAACTAACCTAATTACTTATTCGAATTTTTATGTAATTTATGAATTCTTAACATAATAATCAAAAATTAAAATAAATTAGCTGAAATTGGCATAAATAAAACAAAGTGGAATTGATTGAAATTACGAAATAAGAATGAAAATTTTGAAAAAGTAAAAACTATATGAGAAATTATGAAACTTTGTTAAAAATTAATAATGAAGTAAAAATTATGAAAATTTGATTAAATATTTTTTTTTTGATATTTCTCATAATTTCATTATGGCTGCTTCGAAATTATCCAAAGAGTTCGTTGAAATCCATTAAATTCATTTGTTTTCTTCACGACAGGTGTCTTACGACGGTGGTGGTACGCTTTTCTGCAAAATTTCAAAATGAAAAATCGTTCGATTGCAAAAATTTTTATGAATAATTCAATATCGTACAGAAAAATCACTCCCACACAACAATTTCTTTCCCACACAACAATTTCAATTAGCGCTAATTGAAATTTATTAAAATAGCTTGTAAGAAAAATGAAAAGAAAATGTGGAATATAAATTGAATAGGAAAAGAGTAAATTTCATAAATGCCAGCTTTGTGTTAAAAAAAATTTTTATCACTACTTGAGATCTTCGAATTATCGATACGATTGAAAGTTTTTAACTTTCTTTTGATATTTTCCCAGTAGAAAAAAGTTAGTTCATTCATTTTCTGAAAATCGGATACGAATGATTATTTATCATTCCTCGTTATTCTATTGAGTAATTATTTTTATCATTTACTTCACTTTATGTTTAAAATCTTATCAAAATTTTTAAAAGGCTTTTTATTTTTTCCAAAAATCTTTCATTGGTGTAAGACTAAAAATTAATTATATGTTTGTGAAAATATATATTTAAGCAGTCGTTAGAAGACTTCATTATTACCGTAAACAGAAAAGATTTATCACGCAATAATAATAATACATTTATTTTGAAATGAGCTAATCGCATGAAATTTCTTTGCATTGTAGAGAAATTATTGGAAGGAAAAGGAGTAAATAAATTTTTAATGAACTTTGGAAGTTTTAAAATGAAAAATTTACCATTGTAAAATAAGCGAATGACGTTCAAAACAGATTCCCGAAGTGCAGGATTACGATGATAATGAAGAAACAAATTGATGGTTGAATTTAATTTTGTTAAATGAAATAGTACCTGCACAGCACTCTCACATTGTCTTTCAGCTTTAGAAGCATTTTCGCCTAGAATGCCTGAAGTATAAATCTGTCACTTCAAATGTCGCAATTGCTTCATTTCCAATATGAACTTTGATATATACATATAGGTAGATAACTTATCCTAACCATATTTCAATATCATTTTAGTTTCATTATAAACTGTCGTATAGCATTCATAAAGAATGCTTGCTGCAAGCAAAAGCACATTTCTAATCTATCACAATATATCATGCTAATATCATTGAACTTTAAGAGATCATCTTCAAAGATACTGAAACATGCATTTGTAAAATTCAAATAAACATGCTTTATAATCCTTGCTCAAAATAATTGGAGCATATCATTCAAAATACTTTTTTTTATTATTCGTATCACGAGATCTTTTATTTCTCTTTAGAACAAAATAAAATTTTTGAAGTTTTGAATGGTTCAGTAAGCTAATTCATTTTGATTCATTTACATATAAAGCAATATAAATTAGATCGCTCATTAAATATAAATCATATATTAAAAAAAAATCATTCACTTTATAATGTAAATTAATATATCCTAACGATCTGTGGATATCATGAGTTGATCACTTTAAATGCTACAATTGCATCATTTCTTGTGTGAACTTTGACATATGTAGATAAATAATCATATTTGAATGTCATTTTATCATATTTACTTAACCTACCGTAAATACCCACAGCTCGAGGCACAACATCCAAAAAGAATGTCGCAGAACAAGAAAATGCCAATGTTATTGTCATTCGTATTTGCTCTTTACGTTGACGAATTATCTGGAAAAGGAAAACAAAGTTCCGATTTATAAAATATACTGAAATATATCAAACTAAAGAGTTGTACGCAAAATGGACGTTAGCTATGCTGAATAACTTAAATAATAAATTACTTGTTAAATGAACTAAATGAGATGTTCAACGAAGTATCTATTTGATATTCTATTCTCAATTCAACAATTAATTATAACCAATTAAAAACAATTAATATTAATAAGTTAATATTAATAAATTTTATTAATAACAAAACTAATTGATACGAATAATTTGCATTATATTTTAAAAAGAATTATGCATAATTAATTAATATCAATTGATTTTGCAAAATAATTAAATATATTTAAAGAAACGAAAAAAAAGAAACCTGTGAATTAGTAAGGATATTTAACATATGTTTCCGTTGCATTCGAACGATTAATACAACAGGAATATAAAGGATAACACTAAGTAAACTTGTTATAGCAGTTAAATATTTTGAAAACATATAAAATATTGGTGATATATAAATATTAGTACAAAGCATTGATATTTCAGCATATTTTGTAAGAGGTCGATGCCATGCAAACATTGATAATACTGTTGCTAATGTATATGGCTGAAAAATATTCTCTTATAATCAAAATTAAATTATAAACAAAATCATTATAATTAAAATTATAATCATCAATCTCATATCGCAAATAAATAAATGAAAAATATCAAAATTAGGAGAAAGATTAAATTTTAATTGAAATATAAGATATAGAAAAGGAAACAAATAATTTACCGTTCCAATAGCGATAAATGAATATGTGGAACTTCGTTTAATATATTTTAACGGGAAAACTACTGAGAATAATCGATCGAATGTTGTTGTTAGTAGCATAAATGAAGTAGCAAAATCGGACCAACGCCATAACCATGAATGTGGTAATAGCATACATTGTAGAAGTTGAAATTTTTTATTTGTCAAATCCATTAATAACACAAACATACGATATATACCAGCGCAAACAGTTGCAAATGCTAACATGAAAAAAAGGTTTTAATTAATATTTAGGGTAAAATAAAAGAAAGTATTAATTAAAATTTTGGGATTATTTTAATTTTTGAGAAATATTTTATGGATTGAATAATTCTTTTTTAGCTAATAATTATTATTTTGCATATTTTATTAGTTTAGTTAATTATTATTATTTTGCATATTTTATTAGTTTAGTTAATTATTATTATTTTGCTTATTTTATTAGTTTAGTTAATAATTATTATTTTGCTTATTTTAAGTTTATTTTGATATTTAAGGAAAT